AAGATCGCAGCTGTTATTTGACCAACACCATCTGTTATTGTGATTTGTTTTTTCGCTCCTTTTTCTTTTTTTTAATCATTAAAAAAGTTTATAATTGCAATTTAAAGAATTTAAGATCAAATCTCAACAAACGCGATTATAGAGAATAAGCATACTACGCAACCGAATCACAAAATTCTAATATTCTTTGACTAAATTGATAATGGTGATACCATGTCTCCCCACCAAAAATAATAATAATAATAATAATGGTAATATGTCAGACCAAGAAAACTTCCATATACATGATTAATGACATATTAGCAGAAATCCAAGTTGTCAATGCATGCATACTCATATGATGATGAATCAAATGTTAGATAAACATAAAATGAATTAACATTAACAGTTTATTTGAATTGAAACGAATATATGAGAGATAAAGGATTTATTTTTCCTTCCCTCTCAATTAAATTATTTTTATAACTAAATAATTTTTTTCCTTTTTTATTTTCTTTAAATCAAACTTATTGTAAAGAAATAATAGTAGTTTAAAATTAAGTAACAATGAATAAATAATTAAATTAAGGATGAAAAATAATTAGTATATTATTTGATTCAACACACTTAATAATACCCATCGGTTCAATCACTCAAATTTGCCTTTAAAAATTTTTTTATTTTGAATTCAAATTTGAAAATATTAATTTTTATCGCTTTAGTCACTCAAATTTGTTTTTAAAATTTTTTTTATTTTGAATTCAAATTTAAAAATATTAATTTTTTAATGATTAAATCAATAAACATTATTAAGTATATTAAATTAAAATATATACTAATCATTGTCCAATCAAAGATGTAGGTTCTTTTTCCATCGCAGGGAGAGGGGAGTGGTTGTAAAGACTAGACTAGAGGAGATAGGTCGAGCTGTTGAAGTTTGAAAGCTTATCATTATTTTTGGGTATAGTGGAGATACATTTTACATACCCCTCAACACAAAAGACTGAAAATAAAATGCATGATTGGGCGGTTCATCCACGATATATAATACTATAGGGGTAAAGTAATTTGGTTTTTTCAGTGATGATGATCCTATGATCCAATTTTTCTACCCTAAGGAGTAAGGCTACTTCTCCGTCGGTTTTATCCTGTATTCATGTAATTCCAATTCCATACAGGGAATTTGCAGAATACAATGAACGGAAGAAAAATCATGTTGGTCCCCTTGGCTGCGATCCATGTTCCATCACTCATGTTCATCGATCGTGGTACTTCCTACTCCGGGATTAGTGATGAAAACACTTACTTTATTGAAAGATATATATTGGGTATGATTATTGTCATTATTAATATTTTTAATATTATTAAAATTTTATTTTTTTAAAAATAATATTTAAAAATATTAATTTGTTGATTAATTTTAATATGTTAACCTTTATTTTAAAATAATTATTTTTTTAATTTTAAATTTATTTCAAATTAATTATCATATTTAGATTTTTTATGGCAAATAAATATTTTTTTTAATTTAACCTTATTATTATCTATTTACTTTAATTAATCATTTAATTGTAGAATTTTTTTTATCTTTTATTTTTTTTAAGGATATTATAAATAAATATAAATATTATCTTCAAATCCTTATTTTAAGGAAAAATAAAAAGAAACAACTATTTTGATATAGAAAAAATAACTAGTAAATATCAATTATTTTGTTAATTATTATAATTATTAGTCAAATTAAATAAAATTAATATTTTAAAAATAATATTTTGCAATTCTAGTGATCATAATATTATTGTTAATAGTCATAAATGTTCCCACATATAACAAATTGAACTAGTTTGAATTTGGGCTTACCACGAAACACCTAATCTTCCTTGCACCAATGCATCTTGGGTACGGTTGATACGTCTTAAAAGTGTTAGTATTACTCTAAAATATGATATTTTTACTTCTATGATTTTTTAACTGATGAGTTTTTAAACAAATTCATTAATTTTTCATTTGCTCGTGAATAAAAGAATTTTAAAAAATATATTTAGTGTGTCGCTAAGGGTATTGTAGGATGTGACAATATCATTATATATTCGTTTCTTGTGTACAAATCACTGCACGAACCATCCCATAAATAAAACAAATAGTCCAAAATAATTCATATTTTAGAAAACTTTTATTTTCAAAAAGTAACTAAAGTTTTTGATTTTTTGTGGCATGAAATGAAATAAAAGGGAAAAAGGGAAAACAAAAAGACAATTCCACCAAAAAAGAAAGAAAGAAAGAAAGAGAAAAAAGAAAAAACAAAAGGTAATAAATAAATTTTTTTTTAATATGTGTCTTAAGGACACAAGATAAAAATATATTAAATATATTTTTTATTATATATCTATATTAAAAAATAAAAAATTAATATTTAATATATTAATTATCTAATTAAATTTATCTAATATTAAAATTAATATAATTTTTTATATTTTTTCATATATATTTATAATAAAACATTATCATATATTCTAAGTACACATGTCAGAAAAGCTCGACAAATAATAGTACTTGCATTACCGGCAAGAAATCTGGCGTGTCGGTGCCGACACTGAGGCTCACCGACAGGGGAACCGGACATAGGCGGTTAACTGAACATGGAATGGAACCGGCCGGTTGATTAAACAGGTAAGAAAGGTTACCCGATTGGACCCACAAATCCATGCATATGAGTGGAATTTAACGCGTCGGTGCGTAAGAATTTTGACCCCGTGACCGTGAGTGAACTCCGTATCTTTAACGGTTTTCCGTTCGCTCCCCGGGATTTTGACCGTTGACATTTACGATTTTTATTTTAAAACCATTTTCCTTTCTCGGGATGGTTAATTTTTATTCGTCTCTGAAATTAAGGCATAAAATTTTTCTCTTTTTCCAACAAATCTGCATTTTATCCCTTTTTTTTAACTTAATTTTCTATTAGTTTACCCCTTACCGTTATCCATCTTCATTACTTCTATTAATACAGCAATTTTTTTTTATTAGAGTGTGGTGTTACAAGGTCAAATTACTCCTCTTTAGCTTCAGTTCAGAAAAAAAAAAAAAAGAGTCAAATTACTCCTCTTTCATTTACTAATTCTCTTTTCTAGGTGGAAAAATTGAAGTAGAAGAAGAAGAGATTTTGATTAAAAAATTCCTTGATAGTACATCTATCTAATGACATTACCAAGTGTATTAGCTAACATTCAAGATGGGGCATGTCATGGCAACACAAAGATTTGTTAGGGGTACATAATATAAAATATTATAATGTGTATAGTTTAATTGATTCTATCTGGCTTATTTTCAAAAAAAATTGATTTTATCAGTTTACAATTATTAAGGTGTTTTAAAATATTAGTTTATAAATTAATTTTAAATTATTAAATAATAAATACCAATTATTTTATTTACTATTAATTAATATATACTATTGCTAATTATTTTTAACAATTAAATTAAATACACTTTTATTATTTTTGTTTAGTCATAACCAATGTCTCAAGGTATCAAGAGTATCTTTCAATTGGGGTGTTTGTGCTAAGCTAATATAAAGTACAAATGAGTTTAAGTTTAGGTTTGTAGATAAGGTGTATGTTAATCGAGAAATTCGATTGTATCAAAAAAATGCTTTTCACTCATATTTTAAATTAAAAGAAAAATTATCCCTTATTGTTGGGGTGTTTTTAATGTTATATGCTATTTTCCCATTAGCTTAGGAATATTTGATGTGAGCTTGAGATATAACACGTATAACTATCTAATCCTGCTAGTCTCCCCAAACGAAACAGTTCCTTCTATGAATGTTAATTTACATGCAAAGAATTTTTTATTTGGTATCTTTAAACTACAGGTTAAAACTTAAAAATATGTTTATTATATTTTTTATATAATTAATTTATATATAAATATAAATGTTGATTTTAATTTAATTAATTAATCAATTAAAATTATTCGAATGGCAATGGTATTGAGATAAAGCCAATTTCATGATTTTTTATGTAAGTTAATTATAAAAAAATATATTTATTACATCCTTAAAACAAATGTTAGACAAACCTCATATGCAAACTTCTTTTAGGAGTATTTGATATTTACTTTAAGTATTTAATTCTGAAAAAATAATTTACACACACTATTTTTTACTGTAATTTTCTTTTTTAAAATTAATAAGTTGTGAATAAGTTAATTAATTAAGAAAATAGTGTACAAATAAATTTTGGTCTGCAACACAAGCTATGGAGCTGTGAATGAAGGAGCAGTGCATTTTTAAAGTTACTTCACATTC